CGGTCTGCCTAGAGGGAACCTGAATCCCCTCGCAGACTCACCAACGCCAGAGTGAACCTTCCTGCTCACCTGGACTTGCCCACCGGGGTGCATTTTACGTCAGAGGAACAGGCCACCCACAGTCAGAGGTGCGAGGCAGAGGGGAGTGACCAGAGGAGACAAAGTTCCCATTCAGTTGCAACCCCAACCCGTGTAAAAATGACAACCATCCCTGCACAACCAAGTCCACGACAACCAATGCTTGTAAGATGATCATGTTCTCTTCCGGTTCTGTATGAATTTTAAGAGTGTAGTAAATCGAATACACAAACTTAACTATTGCATGGTTTCTCTTATTTAGGAAACACAAACTATAAAAACATGGAAGACCAAAATAAAAGCTAGATTGTAGGAAACAGGGAGATGGATCTTTTACAAATAGGAAGGGGACCAAGAGATGAGGGGAGGGGAGGAGAAGGGGATAGGAAAAGGATCAAGCTGTGTTATGCACACAGACCCACTTCCCAGGATGAATGTAATCATTATGTACTGCAAACACAGACTAATAAAAATAAAAATTAAAAATGAACCCAAAAAAAGATTATCGTGTTTTCCTCTATGGCCAAGGATGAGCATGTCTTCCCCCTCTCTTTTTTTTTTTTGAAAGAGCATGGGATGGTGTTGGTTAGTCTTGGCCTTGGCCTTGGACTGGTTTGACCTAAGCACCACCTGATCCACCACCGAGCAGCTGTGGCCCTTGGCAGATACATGATTAGACGTTGGAAGATTTTCCTCCCAACTAGCCCCACTTCCTGGAGGTTGACCCAGACCAAAACCTGGTGATAACACTCCAGAAGGACGAGATGGAGATCTGTTTCAACATAAGCAGGCACAGGAGCTGAGCAAAACACACAGTGGACCTGCCCTGGCTCATCCCACCCAGAGTGCAGGCTGATGGGACTAGAGGTATGATGACGGCCTGACACTCCGCCCCCAGGGTGAGGACCAGGCAGGTGAGGGTCAAGGAAGCAGAGGTTTTCATAGGGTTGAGAGACCATGGGGAAAGAGCACGCAGGAGGATGAGTCTCCAAATAGCCTTGGCCAGCCAGCTCCTAGCTCTCAGGGTAACTGTGGAACGTGCCAGGCTGCTGCTCCTGCACTAAAAGGAGCTTACCTGGGGCCCAGGCTTCACCTCTGTTCCCCCTAGAGTGGTAGAGCCAGCAGCGCTTGAGCTTGGCCACATAGCTCCCCGCAGGGTACAAGGCCCTAGGCACACTGCTGCTCAGGTCCCTAGGCCTGGGGTCAAAGAGGAGACGCCTTCCTCCCTGGATGCTCTCCTGAGCACAGGTCACCTTATCCATCACGGCACCTAGGCTTCTGTTTATTTTAGCAGCCTATCTATGCGTTACAAAGTTCATTTGCTGGGTTGGTACAACTGTTCTGTGGCAGTGGGCTGGATAACCGGGCTTTTGCAAAACTTCCAGTCTGATCTAGGGAACTAATCCAAATTTAGCAAGGTGTGGAGAGCCCTGCCCGGGGGATGATACAGGTGCACAGTGTCCTGCCTCACGGAGGGAGCATTTCTAAAGGGAAGGCTTCCCGCAGTCACATGGAGGTGACTTTCTTATACAGGAGGAGGACTTTCCTATACAGCGATGTATAGGAAAGCACCCGGCAACCTATGCCGTCTATGTGTAGCACAGAAAAAAATGCATACTATTTTGAAGTCCACTGCACCTCCTTCTGGAGAGGAAGCAAATGCTGTCCTTGGACAAGGCCCTGGATGTGTTCCAGGATGGCCTGATTCGGAACTATTTTATGCGGATGCGAAACAAATGTGCACCCAGGAGCCAAAGCAGAGAGGACTGCTCCTGGCCCACCCCGTGACGCGGTGCCTCTGCCTCCCTAGGGAGCACCCAGGTGGCTGGGGATACCGTTAGGACACAGTATGAACAGAGAGCTTGGGCAGGCCCTGAGAATTCGTTCTCATCACCAGCACCAAGGTGCTGCTGCTGCCACCGCTGCAGGGACACGCTTGGAGCGTGGTGCGTCTGTGAAAGTACAAGGCGCTCTCCCTCAAGCCCGCGGACTTCTCTGCAGGCAGCAGCCTGCTCCTAAGTTCCTTTGTGCTCCCTTTTGTGAAGTTTAGAAATATGGGGCGCCCTGGACGCCAGTGAGAGGATATTCTTGAAGAACTGCTGAATCAGACGCCCACAGGCTCCAAAAGCCCCTCAGCCCAGCAGCTGTAGGGACGTGAGCGGAGGGCCCTCGAGGCGACGGAGCCAGCGGATTCTGGGAGGGTGCTGCCGGGGCTTCACTCCCCCGTGCTGGCAGAGCTGGGGACCTGCAGACTGTTCCGTTCTTGTGCAAATTGTGCTTGCAGAATCGAATAAGGGCTAAGGCCAGTGCTTGGGGAAAAGCAGACCCCTGGAGGCCATCAGGGCCCAAACAAGAGGCTGGGAAATGGCGGGGCATGGGGGGCACTTGGGCACAGGGCATCAGTCTGGAGCTCCAGGTGGCAAGTGCCTCCCAGGACCTGTTAGTCCCCTGAACAACACCCTCAGGGGATAGTAGAGAATTACCCACATTCACCTTGGGATGGAGTTTCACTAAGTCAGTACGATTTAAAAGAGAATTGTTCTCCACAGCTGGAGAACTTGAGAAGCCCCGGTAGAGGGTACTGTCACCCCACTGTCTAAGCGCCCCTTCTGTCTCATGGCAACCTTACCCCACGTTTTCAGCTGGGACAGGCTCTCTTGGAGTACAGGTACTGGGCGGTGTGGGGGGGGCTGCTCCTTCACAGCTGGGCATGGCCACGCCCAGCATAATGGAAATGACCAGTGGAAAGCAGCACCCAGACCATTCCCTTTGACAGAAAGAGTGCAGCCATCCCTCCCTGTTGCCTTTCCTATTGGCTGCAAGGTGGTCATAGCAACGGTCATTTTGGACCAGGCAAACTGCGCCCAGGGATGGCAGAGCAACAAGAGAGGAGCTTGGGTTCCTGACAGAGTGGAGCCACCCGCTCAGCCCACATGAGACCAAAGTCAGCCGCAGTGCTGTTTTAGCCATTAATTCTTTTTTTTTTTTTTTTTTTGGTTTTTCTCCGGTACCGGGAACCGAACTCACGACCTTGCGCTTGCCAGGCAGGCACTTTTTAAGCCATTAATTCTTCAAGACTTTGTAGTTTAAAAATAGCAAGCCTACAAACCTAGCACTCTGAGAGGCTGAGGCAGGACGATCGAAAATTTGAGCCCCACGTCGACAACATAGTGACCTAGCAAGACCCTGTCTCAAACTTAAAAATATAAAAAAGGGCTAGCGATGTAGGTTAGTGCAAAGGCCCTCAGTTTGATCCTCATAGAAAGAAATAAAAGGTAGTAAAGGCTGGGTAGGTCCATGGTAGAGTGTATGCACGGCATGCAAGAGTGCCTGGGTTCAACTCTGAAAATGTTTGGAGCCTGAAGGGACATAAATTATCATTTAGGAATCGATAGAAGCAAACTACAGTGGTCAGTGTCATCAACAAGCTTTTACTGAGTACTTGAGCGATACAGCCCTCTGTTAGAGACGCCTATCCTCAGGGAGGGCATGATTACAGCGCCATCGTGCGGTGTACAGCGGTATTGCGGCCCACGCTGGCCCACACTGAGGTGGTCTGAAAACTTCCTATCATCTAGAGATGCTACAGCCACCACAACACAACACAGAGCACCCCTCAGGCCGCCAGGCCCACCGAAGTACAGTACATGCAATTACGTACCGCGCATGATCCCTTTCTTTGCTTACGGTGCTCAGGATTGAACCCATTGCCTCCCCAGAGTCACATCCCAGCCCTTTGCTTCATTATTATTTTTTTTTCTTTTTAAGGCAGAGTCTTGCTAAGCTGGCAAGGATGGGCTCAAACTTTTGATCCTCCTGCCTCAGCCTGCTGGAGTGCCGGGGTTCCAGGCATGGGCCACCACGCCTGGCTCAGTATAGGATGTCTGATATTGCTAATCAATGACTATTTACTGTACTGTACTTCTTGTTACTATTTTGGAGTGCTCATCTGTTTATTAAAGTTTCCAGCAGGTTGCATTAGGTGACTGGCAGCCTCCAACATCTCCTTATCCCATATCTTGGGCATGTGAGCCCACGCCAAGTGGCTGGCACAGACCAGCTGGGTCTGTGACCGCACAAACCCCTGTGATACTTGCAGAATAGCAAAACCCTCGCAGCATAGCTCTCAGCCCATATGGTACCGTGACTCCCTTCGTCCCAAACCACCTGCCAGGAAAACGTCCTGCTCTGCAGCTTAGGCTTGTGCAGAGGGCCGGCTGGGATCCCCAGGGCTTTGCCTACAGGCAGATGAGCAGCAGCCTCAGAATTCGCACCAGGCCTTCTCCTTGCCAAGGCTCAAAATTCACCTGGAGGCCAGCAGTTTCTCCACTGTATTCTAAGGAAGCCCAAGGGTGCCAAGATTTCTCGGGGCCCGTCATGGGTGGGCACTGTCACTACAAGCAAGCGTTTGCTTGTGAGCCCCAGGCAGGCCCAAGATTCGGTAAGAGAAAGATCTGGGAGACTTGCGGGCCAGGGAGGAGCGGGCAGCCAGCTGCTGGACAAGGTTCAGCAGGAGAGCACAGGGCCCTGAGCCACCCCGACCCAAGGAGGCTTAAGACACAAATTGAGCTCTAGAAAAACAGAGCTTTGTGTTTTTAAAAATATATCTGAGTTTGCACGGAGATTAGTCCTGTGTACACACAGACGCTGAAATATACAAAGCGCCTGGGAAACACACCAAAATGGTACCTGGGGCCCTCTCTTGATGATAAACATCTGGGGAATGTTTTCAAAGGTTTTCTTTAATTTTCTGAGTCTTTTCATCTGCAGGAGCATCTCAGACATAGAAAACAAACTAAGGAGACAAAGTGTTTTGTTGCTGTGTGGGGGCGGGGTGTTTCCCATCAATAGGAGGTTCCGGGGGATGGAGTAAGTCCCTATTCCCAGAAACTGTCTCCAGGCCATTTCCAGTCTGAGGACAGAAGGCTGTTGTCCAGGCCAGCTCTTCCTGAGCAGAGGGAGGAGCCTGTGGGGATAAATAGGAGCAGCACCGGCGAATCCAGAGCTCCAGGAAGGAAGTGCTGGAACCACACTCTACACGAGGCTCTCCCAGCAGGACAGGTAACCCCGAGCGGCAGGGTGACAGGGCAGCTGGCTGAGGCGACCAGGAGCTGGGGCTCTGTGCCAGCTCTGGATCCTGGGAGCAGCTCTGGGGCCTCTGTCTGTGGATCTGTATCCCCACTTCTGCCAATGGTGCGGGTCTCACGGGGGACACTTATAGATTCTGGACAGAGCCAGCTGTGCTTGCGACCCTTGCTCTACTCCTCTACTTGCGTGCTTCGTGGCTCTGGGCAAGCCCCTTCACCTCGCTGTGCCCAGTTTTCCCACTTGGGGAAGAGCAGCAGTGGCTTTGTTGGGCTCTGGGCTCCACTGTCAGAATGGGTGCCAATGTGGTTTGGGCCTCCTTGGGGCCTCCACGCCCCTGCCAAGGCCCCTGGCCCCGCAGGGAGACGGGCTGTGTGTCTGTCCTGACCGCTCTCCTGCACCAACAGACCAGCCCTTTTTCTCTAGACATAGTTTTTGGGGAAATACTGTTCATACTTTTCCAAAGAAATCTTGCATCAGCCTGAGAGTAAACAAGCAGCAGAGGCCTCCAGGCTCGCTGTCCTGGGCTGCTGTGAAGGCCCTCCGCTGCCCTGGGGAGGGCTCAACACCCCTGCCTGCCCTGCCACCCCCCTCCCATCCCTTCTGCTCACTGCCCCTCCCACCTCCTCCCCCCCAGGGGTCCCTTCCCCTCCCACCTGCCGGGCAGAGTGGGCAGGAGCTGGAGGTGAATAACCCAGGGAGCCGAGCCAGTCACCGGGCTTTGGACTCTGTCCCTCTGCCCCTTGTCCCATGGCCCCAAGTGTGGGAGTGTGGGAGGACCGGCCCTCTGGAGGGCCAGGGACAGCCAGGCACCTTCGCCACCTGTGTCGCTGGAGCCACCGGCCTTGCTGCACAGAGAACGGAAACTGAGGCATGGGGAGGCGTGAATCCCACATCCAGATCCTAGAGACTCTGATACCCACTTGCCTGCTTGGCTTTTTCCCCACCAGGAACCTGCAGGGTACCCTCTAAGCCACAGTCCACTGTCTGTACCCCAAATTTTTCAGGGCTACAGACTCTCTCAAGTAACCCTCATTTTCTCTAGAGGCTGAGAGGTGCTCTGCTCTCTGTCCCAGGACGCCTGACCCAGCTTCTGCCTTGGAGGCACATGGGGGTCATGAAGGAAAAGCACCCCCTGCTTTTCAAACCCTCTGATTGGGCTTTGCCCACTGAGCAGGAGGGGGAGGGGTGTGCACCCATGCCAGGCTCCTCTGCTTGCGTGCTGTGTGGCTTTGGGCAAGCCCTTTCACCTCTCTGTGCCATTTCCCCACTGGGAAAAGCGGCAGTCACTGCAGTGCTTGCCAGGAGGGTGAAGGGAAGCGTAGGGTGTAGCAACGCACACTGGGTGCCCACTGGAGGTCAGAGAGCCAGCAGGGGGCACAGAAGGAGGCAGCCAGAGGCTGTCGAGATGGGTCCGGTCCTCCCCACTTAGACGATCTTTGCTTTGCAGAGTGGAGGCAATGTCACTTCTCCTGGCTCTGGGGCTCTTGGTGGCCGGGTTCTGCCCTGCTGTCTTCTGCCACCCAGGTGGCCCAACAGACCTGGACACTCTGGCCTCAGAGGGCAGAGACAATGGGACGCATGTGGGCAACCTCAGATTGGTCTCCGGCAACAATGACTTCGCCTTGAGCCTCTATAAGCAGCTGGCTTCGAAAGCCCCAACCAAGAACATCATCTTCTCCCCCGTGAGCATCTCCACCGCGCTGGCCCTGGCTTCCCTGGGGGCTCGCAACACCACGAAGGAGGAGATCCTCCAAGGCCTCAAGTTCAACCTCACAGAGCTCCCGGAGGCAGAAATCCACCAGAGCTTCCAGCACCTCCTGCATACCCTGAGGCGGCCCAGTGACCAGCTGCATCTCAGCGTGGGCAATGCCCTGTTCATTGACGAGCAGCTGCAGCTTCTGGCCAAGTTCACGGAGGATGCCCGGGATCTGTATGCAGCCGAGACCTTCACTACCAAATTCCAGGACCCCGCGGCTGCCGAGCAGCTCATCAATGACTTCGTGAAGAAGGAGACCCAGGGGAAGATCTCGGAACTGGTCAAGGACCTGGACCGGACCACCGCACTGGTCCTGGTGAACTACATCCTCTTTAAAGGTGACAGATCAGGCCTAGCATGGGGTCAGAGGGAAGCAGGCTCTTCACTCTGAACCTCTGGAGCTCAGAGCTTCTGTCTTGGGGCCAAGAACTGGGTTGTGAGAGGCGGTGCCCACCGCCTGGGGGCATGGGTGCCCGTAGGGGTTGTCTTCTCCCAAAAGGTTTGTTCAAATTCCAGCTGGGGTTCTGGGACACAATTTCAGTGCACCCAACCAGCCTCTGTCTCAGAGCGTCCCTTTTTATTCTCATGAAAACGAGCACACCCAAAGCAGAGCTCTCCTTTCAAACAGTCCCAGGCGGGCGGGAACTACAGCCTCATGTCTGCCAAGATGCCGTGAGAGGCAGGCAAGAAGGCCCAGCACGCGTCTCTAATGCCCCCAGGGGGAGAGCAGCGTCACAGAGCTCACCTTTGCAAAATTACAAGCCCTGCAGTCTAGAGCCAGGCTGCCGGTGTGGAGAGGAGGCAGACATGGGTGGTGCTGTAGGTGGAAGTGCTCCCCTGCACCCCGCCCGGAGCTTGTGTGCAGGACACCCATACCCAGGGGGTTTCTCACAAGCCCAGAGATTGGGACTGGGCACCAACCCCAGGGCTGCTGTGTTTGGGCCGGGGTTGAACCCTGGGGGTTGGGCCTGGGATCCCCCGGGGTGGAAGTAGGGTAGGTTCTTAGATCCTAGGCAAGGATGCAAGGCAGCCATCCAAGGAGGACACAGGACAGGGCCCAGCCTGAGCCCAGGCCTGCGTGCGCTGGCGGAGAACAGGACGAAGGCCAGGGAGAGCTGGGGATGTGACTGAGTGGGGGAGGGGACCCTCTCTGCTGGCCACGGGATACAAGCTAAGCATTGCGAGACATGCATGGAGGTGCTAGGCCCAGAGGCCCAGAAACTCCCAGTTCCCATCCCTCCAGTGGGGCCTTGGTGCGGGGACCACAGGCTCCCGGACAGGGCAGGTGTGAGCGGGGTCCATGGTCCACAGAGGCGAGCACGGCCCACATGGAAGCTGAGGTCCCAAGGCCAGCGCTTCTTAGATTGCGGCTTGGCTTCCCTCCCGCTCCCACGAGCCCTCGCACGGGGCAGAGGATTCGGAGTGCAGAGCGTGGCTCTGGGTCGGCATCCCAAGGCTTGCTCTGCAGGGTTCCGCTTTAGAGTCCAGGGACTCCCCATTTCGCCCAAACCCCAGCATGCCTCTGTTGCGCACCAGGACCAGATCTTCATTTCTCAGCCCCATTCTGATCTGGACCTGTAGCCTCTCTTTACCCCGGCAGGTTTCCCCTCCCAAAGCCTTTTCTACACCCCAGCAGGTTTCCCCTCCCAAAGCCTTTTCTACACCTGGGTGTCTGTGGGCCACTGCATGCTGGCACTGCTCAGGAAGCTGGCAGAGCGGGGTCCGCAGGGCCACCCCTGTGCTCACAGGGCTCTCTCTCTCTGCTTGCTCCCCCCACAGGCAAGTGGAAGACGCCCTTTGATCCCCTGGATACCTTCCTGTCAAAGTTCTACCTGAGCAAGCGGCGGTGGGTGCAGGTACCCATGATGAAGCTGGAGAGCCTGTATGTACCCTACTTCCGGGACGAGGAGCTGCACTGCACCGTGGTGGAGCTGGAGTACTTGGGCAATGCCAGCGCGCTCTTCATCCTCCCCGACGAGGGCAAGATACGCTTGGTGGAGACAGCGCTGCTGCCCGAGTCACTGAGTCGGTGGAAGGATGCCCTGCGGACCAGGTGCAGGTTCCCTCCCAGCCCCTGAGCCTGTGTCCTGCACCTCAGGTCTTCCGGGGTCCAGAACACAGCTGTGGCAGAACTGGAGCAGGGGCAGAGGGATATTGGGGTCACTTTGTTCTTGGCTGCCCATGGGGCTTTAGTTCTTGATGCTGTCTTTAATAAGATGACCAGTCAGGTCATCTCAGAGGTGTCCTCTGAGCCTAACACATTCTAAGTCACAAGGCGTCTTCAGCACGGCCCCAGCATCCTCAGTGGTTCCTCCTGCCTCAGCCTCTTGGAGGCAGAGGGAGACAGACAGGAGTGGGAGGGGTTCAGGGTGGATGAGAGGGGCTGCAGGGATCAGCTCTGCGCTGGTGAGCCATCCTCTCATTCATGCATTGCAGGGTCATTCATTCATGCGCTTGGCATCACAGAGCCAGGACAACAGTGACAAAGCATTAGGAGGATAAACAAAGGGAGAGGAAGTGTCAGTACAAGGGGTTCCTCAGCACTCCACGCGTCCCTCACCAGCCCCTCCCCTTCCCAGCGCTCCCATGCCGAGGAGCTCTTGCTTCCCATCTCTGATTCTCCCACCTGCTCCTGCCCTCCCTTCCCCCGGCTCGCTCCTCCTCTCCCCTGAGAATTGGCCTGGACACCACCTCCTCCAGGAAGTCCTCCTGGTGTCCACAGTGCAGGATGCCGTGTCCCCGTGAGCTTTTACACATACTGTAGGGTCCCTGATCCTTGAAGGTGTCTCCCACTCAGCTCAGGGAAGGGTAAGGCCAGGCTTGGGCGAGGCTGCGGTCCCAGCCTGGTACACTGCCGGGCACTGCAGACATGGGCAGATGCTGATGGCAATTAAGGAACTCAGAAGAGTAAACATACCTGGAATCCCAGCACCCTGGGAGGCTGAGGCAGAGGGTGACAAGTTTGAGAGCAGCTTGGGCAACTTAATGAGATCTTGTTTCAAAAATAATTTTAAAAGGGCTGGGGGTGCAGCTCAGTGGTAGAGCACTTACCCAGCATGGGAGCCCTGGGTTCAAACCCTAGCACCACAGTTAAAAAGAAGAATAAACGGGGGGTGAAGAAGTGGGGTTAACAGGACATTTCCTCCCAGAGAAGGGTGGGTGTGGGGGGATCCAGGGAGGCGGGCACTATGGCAGGTGACGGTCACAAGGTTCTCCTGCCCTAGGTGGATAGACGAGTTCTACCTACCCCAGTTCTCCATCTCCGGTGAATATCAGTTGGAAAGCATCCTCCCCAAGCTGGGCATCAGGGAAGTCTTCACCCGAAAGGCTGACCTGTCAGGCATCACCGGGGCCCAGAACCTGAGGGTCTCCCAGGTGAGTGCCTCGGGCTGTCCGTCCTCCACACCTGAACTTGAACGGTGAGGGCTGGGTGAATGGGTGCCAATGTATTTCTCAGTACCCCATGGCCCGCCTGGGATGCCCCAGACCCACCTCCTGCCATGCTGCCGGCTGGTCCCTGCCCCCTACAATGCCAGGCACTCTGGAGCCCGTGGTGAGGAATCGCTGGGCCTGGGATCAGAGAGCAGTCGACACTGCCAGGCTCTGCCATGGGCCACCTGTAAAATGGGGGCCATTCGTACTTGCGTGGCAGGACAGGTGACAGTAATGGGGTAATAGTGCCCTGTCTATGTAGCTATGGTGACAAAAACGTGCTAAGGGTATGGAGAAGGGCTTGGGACTCTCAGACTGCTTTCCAGAGGCACAGCTGTCAGAACAAAGGGGTGGCCTGCAGCCCTCCGTGTCCTCTGAGCGAGCCCAAAGCCCCTGCTTGGGTCTGCACAGCTCCCAAGAGCACAGGAATGGGAGGACGAGTGCTGACGGGGCCCTGCGTGACCAGAACTCGAAACTGTGTGCAGCGCGGTCAGGAGGAGCCCAGGAAGCCTCCTGGGGCACGAATCCCAGCACTCTGGGAGGCTGAGTGCCAGCCCAGGCCACCCCAGGGAGCCTAGCAATTAGTGAGACCCTGCCTCAACCTAAAAACTACAAATAGCTCAGTGTGAAGATGCTGACAGTTCTCCGTAGCCCTCCCCCACCCCTGAAAAAAGACATGCTGTGGAGGAGGGAGCAGGAGAAACCCTTCCAAGGGGGCTGCTGGAAGCTGCTTGGTGGGGGCGGGGTGATGCCCTGTGCTGCCTTCTCCACCCCCAGGAGCCAAGCAGACCATGCACTCAGAGGACCCGGATCAGGGGTCTTTACCTCTGTGACTCTGGGCAAATCACTCGCACTTCTGAGCCTCAGTCTGCACATCAGTGTGAGGGCCAGAGCAGGACGAGAGGACAGGGCTGCCGGGGAGACAAGCCCAGGCACAGAGGGAGGCCGGCAGGCCACGCGCGGCCCACCCGTCCCTGGCTGCCCTCTGGCCCACCCTGTCTCCAGAAGTCACGCTCTGCTCTCCCTGCAGGTCATCCACAAGGCTGTGCTGGATGTGGCCGAGAAGGGCACGGAAGCAGCTGCCGCCACTGGAATAAAATTTGCCTTCACATCTGCAAAGGTACGCCCAGTGATCGTGAGCCTTGACAGACCCTTTCTGATGGCCATCCTCCATTCGGAGACCCACAACATCCTCTTCCTGGGCAAAGTCGCCAACCCCAAGGAAACCTAGAGCTCCCGCCGAGTGGGGGCTCCGGCAAGAAGCCAGGCTGAGGTCTCCGCAGCTGGCCTCCGTGCACTGAGGCCTGGCCCTTGTCCTCAGGAGGTTGACAGTGACAGCTTGGGCAGAGCCACGTGCACAAGGAGCCCGTGCACTGCCTTGCCTGAGGCCTCCTGACACCGATAACCCTCCTTCCCAGACACTTCCCCTGTGCTTCTCTCCTGAGTGCTGCCTCCTCGGCGTCTGCCTGGGTCCCTGAGCCAAAGCCTTGACCTCAGGTCCAGGACCTGGGGGGACCCTGCTTCCTTACAGCCCTTTCCAGTGCCACCTTCAATCTTTCCTTGGCCCGGGACCAGGGTCTGCCCGCTGCTGCCTCTGCAGGGCCCCTGGCCACGTCCACTTCAGTTCAGGCCCTGGGCCCGTAGGGAAGGTTAGAGGGAGGTATGGATAGGGATGATACAGGACAGGACCTGGTTGGTGGATGTGTACATGCCATGAACTGACCGTATGCTGTGTGCTTGTGGAAGCTGGCCAGCCCTGATAAAGCTATAACATGCACTGGCTCCAACCTCCTCCACCCCTGGCCTTTGCCTCGGCCCACCGACAGGCCTAGGTCATAACAGCGGTGAAACCGCTGTTTCAGAAACCAGCTTGCCCCTCAGGATGAGGACAGCAGTCCCCAGCCTTTGGGAATTTCGGTGGATTCCCCTGCCTTGTGTGGCCACTGTTCCTTGCGTTTGCAGCTTCATAAATAAACTTTCGTCTCACAGTACCTTCATGTCTGGCTTCCTCTTTCTTTCCGGGTGGGACCTGAGTTCCTCACCCTCTGCTGGGGCCTCAGCTCAGAGCCAGCCTCGCCTCTCTTCTCGGTTCTTCCCCAGAGTGAAGGTGAGGAAACTGGACATAGGAGGGCAGAGGAGGGGAGACAGGAAGTAATTGGAGACCCCTGGCCCCTCAAAGACCACCTGCCTGACGCTACAGGCCCCTCACTTCTGCGGCTGCGTGCGAGCTGCTGGTGTGATCCCCAGTTCTGCCCCAGGGCGCTCAAACAGGAATAGTGGCCAGTTTCCAGGTTCCGGACTGAACCTTCAGTCTCCTCTCCAGTGCAGAGGCCTTGCCTGACCGCTGATCCATGCGGGAACAGAATGCGGAGCTGGGAACAGACGTGCAACACATACAGGGTGCTCTGAGGGCGACAGAGGTCCTTCCCTCTGCTGCTGCCAGCTGGTGCAGGGACTGCAGGAGGACAGGGACAGTGTCAATTGCCACCCAGCCACAGGGCAGTGAGGCTGTTGGTGGCAGGTGATCTGTGGAGACAGCACCTGCAAAAAACCTCTGTGATGATCCATGACCTAGACCAGTGGTGGCGAACCTATGACACGCAGGCTGTTTGTTATCACTGAATGCTCTAAAAGGTTTGCCATCACTGGCCTAGATGCTGTTCTTAGTCTTGTTTGATAGATGAGGAAGCTGAGGAGCTGAAAGGCCGAGTTAACTTCCCCAAAGACACACAGCTAATTACTGACAGCAGGATTTATCCCAACCTGCTCAAAGCCAGAGGATCACTCCTAACCCCAAAAGACGCTGCCCCAAAAGATTTCCTCAGTGTGGAGGATCACCTAGGTGACTGTCCTTGAAAGAGGAGCAGTGGCCTCCATTTTGGCTGAGCCTGACCCTGTTTCCATGTATTGATATGCACAGAGCTGGCTGGGACTTTTCCTTATCCCTTCAGTTGGCTTTAAGCAATGCGTGTCTGTCGGTTCAGCCAAGGTGCTGATGTGCAGTCTTTGAAGATGCCAGGCGTGTTTCCCCGGGCCCCTGTTGTTCCCACAAGTAAGCCGGGATGGGGGGGATGCGTGAGCCAATGCTCCATGCTGTCAGCTGGGACTGAGCATCGGGATAGAGGCTATGACTTCCTGGTGCTTCAAACATGACACAGGAGAGCTGAAGCACCGACCCCAAAACATTAGATACTCTCTCAAGTGTGTCATGCAGATTAGTCTTCCTGCATATCCTCTGCTCTGCCTTGGCAGAGGTGATTTCAGTCCTCTTACCTAGCCCAGAAACTCCATGGCACTCACCTACTTCCCATGGTTCTCACAGTCACTCATCCTCAGGCCACTCCCTTCTTCACGAATGAATAAAACCTGGGTTCACCCCTGGGTTGAGGTCTTTGTTCCGGAAGCCATCATTGTGGCTGGAGTTAGGACCTCTGGGCTCCCCATAACTACAAATATGCCTTAGTGTCTTTATTCTCACCATGGTTGCACTGGAAGTGATAGATTGTAATTAACCTGCTAGAATTCCTGTAACTTTTCATGGGATTACAAATACAAACTTCCTGGGCCTTGATGAGGACTGGGAAGGGCTCTCTACACCCCAGCAGTGGCTCCCGTGGGACTTACAACTGGGTGGCCAAACTGAGGACAAAACAGGACTCTGGAAGCTCTGAGCAGGCATTGAACTCAGTCTGGGAAGCAGGAAGGCTTCCTGGAGGAGGTGACATAAGAACTGAGATCCGGGAGAACTAGATGGTGGGTGCGTGGGTGGTCAGAAAGCAGAGGTTACAGGCAGGGAAAGAGCAAAGGGAGAGAGAAGAAAAGCATCTTGACATGGGCCTGACAGAACCAGGTAACTGGTTTCCCAACGAAGGAGTGGGAAAATAGACGCAGCAAGGGTAGACCTTTCCTTCTAGAAAATCAACCTCAAGAAAACTGAGACGCAGCGGGAGCTGGAGGAGGGACAAACGGAGAAGTTCTTGTCTGATGGGAAAGGCTTTTGTTTCGTGGGGTTGATTGTAAATTGGTAAGAAACTCACAAATGCTTTGAAGGAACTGTGTTAGCTTGACAGGAAAATCATAGTGATAGGAAAAAAACTAAGAGGCCTCCGTACCCTGAAATTTCTACAGGCAGAAAATTTCTGTCCCAAGTGGCAGGCTGCAAAGAGTTCTTAGGGGCAAACGAGGGCCACATGTTAAAGGCAAGAAAGCATAATTTCAGAGGGAAAAGCATAACTCAGGAGGCAAAAGAGGGCACCCCCAGAGCCAGGGAGGATTATCCCTAGCTTCCAGCCTGAGTAACATGTACCTGGGTGAGTTTCAGACTTTCTAGGGACAAGAGACTGCTGGGTGCATCTTGGTTTGTTCTCCTTAAGCAGGCGAGTCGACAGCAGTTTCTCCTTATTATATGCAGGCCGCGTGGGAACACACAGCGTCTCTTGATCTCCCTCAGACTGAGAGAAACGGTATTCTGGGAACTATACCTAAAGAGTCCAGAATGCACCCTAGGTTTGAGGTAGATGGTGAGATTTGGGACGGTGAGCTGCCATCCCCATGGGATGAGACCTCAGGTTTGGAGGGAGAAGCACAAGCATTTGTTTGAGGAATAGATCCGAACTGTGACCGCCAGAAAGCAGACTGGAGAAGACTGTGTTTTCCCAGTGACGGCATCACTGTGTCTCTCATCCCACACATGCCTCTTCCCTTACAACCTTGCCACTCCTCCATCAAGAGATAGGACTGATGTACTCCGCCTTTCACCTGGAGTGGACCTTCGGACTACCCCAAACCACAAAGCATTGTGTAAGTGATGCTCTTTGACCTCCAGGATCAGGTGACAAAAGGTGACCCAGATTTCACTTGGCTCCTTCCCTCAGAACATTTGGGAGCTGTGGCTAGACATGCAGGACACCGCGAAAGTTCACACAGAGACAGAGAGGCTGTGGGCACCCGGGTGTGGCAGCCGCAGATGTCTAAGTCCTCCAGGCCGAGCACTGAGGCACGAAATTTGAAATGACATAGCAGCCACTGAGCTACTGGGCCCAAATAACAGAGATCGGTATATTTTAAAATAATACACAGGAAATATGAGGACTTCTGGATAAAACTGGATAAGGAAATCTGGATAAAAGTCCAATGATCATGGGAGTGATATCAATACTATATATTTTAGAGATGGACTTGCTAAAAACTCAAAAATTGAAAAATCCATCAGTTAATAATACAATGAATAAATTGGATTTAATATGTATTTTTTGTTTCCCTCAAATAGAAAAGGCACCTTATATCATAGTAAATTTTTTAAATTATTCATGAACTCAGTTAAAAAGAAAACATTAACAATTTCTTAAAAGTTTTTATAGACCATACAGATGCATTATTAATTTTTTTTACAAATGCATTATTGAAAGACCACTAACAAATTATAAAATGTTTAGGAATTAAAAGCATCTTCCCGCCACCCATGATGTAACAATAATCATGGAAAAATTGTCCTGAAACAACTGGAAAACTGGACAATATATGCGAAATAATGATATAGAGACACTGAATAATAAATAGGTCCTGGCGAGGGAAGTCCTCTCCGGGAGAAGAGTGACAAGCAAGGTAGGCACAACTGTTACCACACTGACTCCCTAGAAGAAGTTTCCAGGCCTCAGCTGAGGAGCAGGAAAATGAAAGAAAGCCGGGCAGTCTTCTTAAGCTGCAAAGACAGACCTCAGCCTGCAGGAGCCCAAGGTGGCTAGGATTTGGGAGGTAGAATAGTAAGATGGTAATAGTAAAGATCTCACAGGTGCAGACATAGAGAACGCTCCGGAGATCTGCAGAGACATCAGCTCAGGTCTTTGGCTGAGCACTGCTCTATGCATGGGTGAGAGGAATCTACTGAAATCAGGGGACGAACCACTAAAAGTACCACTGTTGGGAATGATTCATATTTACCAGTCGTCAGGGTGGAGAAGATGGTAGATCAAACAAACTTAAAAATGAGGCCAAATTAGTCCAGAACCAAAAGGCCATTCTAAATCTATTTTTTAATAATCTTAAAATCAAGGCAGAAAACATTCCAACATTATTTAGAGAAAAAGAACAAAATACAGCACACGACAATGTAAAATTCATAAATGAATGGGCAAGCATCAAAACGGGAACTATGATCTATAACCATGAGAAAAACCAGACAATAGAAACAGTCAGAAATTGTAGACAAGAAAAAAATCTGCCAACAAGTATTTTAAAATAGCCAGAATAAATATGACCAACATGTTTTAAAAAGTATGGGGGAAATCCCATCAGGAAGAGAGACTTGGAAAATAAATCCAAGGGCAATTTCTAAGGATAAAAATGACAGTATATGAAAAAAATTAATACACTGATTAGGAACCAGAGCGGATTAGGCAGCAGTAAAGAAACAACCAGTTAATTTAAAAGCATAGCAAAAGAAATTATTAAATTACAGAGAGCAAAATTACTAGGGAAGGAGGTGACAGGAGACAGGGCAGTGACCATCAGGCAGGCAGTCAAACAAATTATTAGAGTTTCAGAAGAACAGAAAAGTGGAGAAAACATATTTGAATCATATGATGGCTGAAATTTTTTAAAACATGGTTATAAAATATTTTTTAAATGATGGGTGAAAAAATTTTAAATGTGATGTAAAAATGTTAAGCTCAAACAGCCAATAAACTAAAAAAAAATACAGTGGAATAAACATAAATAAAATCACACCAAAGCTTAAAATGGAACTGCTGAATGAGTGATAAATCTTAAAATCAGAGAGAAAAGGTGGATTATGATCAAAGGAAAAGTGAAAAGAATGACACCAGACTTCGAGTCAGAGACCAGGCATATCAGAAGAGACCAGATCAACATACTTAAAGAATTAGTGTCAATTCAACTTCTACACCCAGAAAAAATGGCCTTCAAGACTGAAAGCAAAGTAAAGGTATTTTCAGATGAACAAAGGGTGAGACAATTCATTGCCAGCAAACCTACATTG